AAGTTTTCCTTATTTAAACTGAATTCTTTGGGCATTCTGATACAGGATGCCCAGAACAGCATTTACCACAAGGTTGACTGGTATAGGGTGGTCTTAGATGAAGCTCATACAATTAAATCCTCGAAGACCATAGGAGCTCGAGCTGCATTTGCATTGTCTGCACACTGCCGTTGGTGTCTCACTGGAACCCCGCTTCAGGTTTGCATTTTTTCTTATTGCACTTATTCTTTGCCTTCATGATAGCCATGTGCCTAATTTCCTTTTCTGGTCTGCCTTCACTGCAGAATAATTTGGAAGATCTATACAGCCTTCTATGCTTCTTGCATGTGGAGCCATGGTGCAACTGGGCATGGTATGAACAAGTTAGAATGATTTTATGTTTTTCACCTGTATTTAGATTCTGCTTGGCACCAATAATGCTAACATTCCATATTTTAATTAGGACTGCAATATTAGGTATAATTGGGATTTGTTGGTGAGTCCTACATAGTTCTTTGTTCATGATGTCATTTGCATATGTATAGGTGGAAGGCAAAGATTCAAGGACCTTATGAGAATGGTAATCCAACAGGATTGAAATGGATCAAGGCTATATTACGGCTGCTGATGTTGAGAAGAACAAAGGAAACAAAGGATAAAGAAGGAAGGTGAGTATTTCTCAGCTCCAGTCAACCTTTCTTGTTCATAGCTTCTTTCCAATATGACTGAAAATCATTGTTCAGCGTTTTGATGTTTTATGCATCTGATTTGTTAGGCCCATTCTTGTTCTCCCTCCAACTGATATTCAAATCATTGAGTGTGAGCAGTCAGAAGCTGAACGTGATTTCTATGATGCTCTATTCAAAAGATCTAAAGTAAGTTTGGTCTCTAAATGCTTCTTTGATTTAGTAATTTGCGGCCTTACACCAGAAATGCACTGTCATATTGTGGAGTAACTTTTCTTCAGACTATGTTCCTGAAGTAGTTATTGCCTTTGAGTTTTCAGTAAACCCCTACCTGAGATAATGCTTGCAAATATTTATTCGATTTAAACAGGTTCAGTTTGATCAATTTGTTGCACAAGGCAAGGTTCTTCATAATTATGCATCCATTCTTGAGCTATTACTTCGACTGAGGCAGTGTTGCAATCACCCCTTTCTTGTTATGAGGTATAATGGGAGTCAAGATATTTGGTGAACTTCTTACTGGTGTTTTAAATAGTTGTCATCATATCTGAATTATTTTCCCTTTCTAACCTGTTTTTTGGCCTGGAAAATATGCAGTCGGGCTGATTCACAGCAGTATTCGGACGTGAACAAACTTGCCAGAAGGTTTCTTGAAACTCTGCCTGATTCTGTCTCTCCAAATCAAAATGCCCCTACCAGAGCCTACATTGAAGAAGTTGTTGATGGTATCCGGAAAGGTGAAAACACAGAGTGTCCAATTTGCATGGAGTCTGCAGATGACCCCGTGCTCACACCTTGTGCTCATAGGATGTGCAGGGAATGTCTCCTCTCAAGTTGGCGCACACCAACAGTTGGGTTGTGCCCAATCTGCAGGACAGTGCTGAAGAAAACTGACCTCATAACTTGTCCAACTGATAGCAAGTTTCGAGTAGACATTGAGAAGAACTGGAAAGAGTCTTCAAAGGTTTCAAAGCTGTTAGAGTGCTTGGAACGCATTCACCGGTCAGGTTCTGGTGAAAAGAGCATTGTGTTTAGCCAGTGGACTTCATTTCTAGATCTCTTAGAAATCCCATTAAGGAGGAGAGGAATTGGATTCTTAAGGTTTGACGGGAGACTGGTGCAAAAACAAAGGGAGAAGGTTCTGAAGGAGTTCAGTGAGACAGGAGAGAAAATGGTGAGCACTACGTATGACAATTTAGATAGCTTTGTGTCAGCGCATTATGACAGAAAAATTCTGATTAGCATTGAATCAATCCTTTTTCTTTTACTGTTGCAGGTTTTGCTTATGTCTTTGAAAGCTGGTGGCGTGGGCCTGAACTTAACTGCAGCCTCTAATGTCTTCTTAGTGGTACATTCTCAGCTCTGCCTTCCTCGATCTCAACCTTTCTCTTTTGCCAGGGATATTTCAAAGATGAAAAAAGAAAAAAAAAACAGAGAAATTTTAATCTCCTGGTCTTAATTTGTCACTATCCTCTTGTAGGATCCATGGTGGAATCCTGCAGTGGAGGAACAAGCAATTATGCGAATTCATCGTATTGGACAAAAGAGAGCCGTAGCTGTTAGAAGGTTCATTGTTAAGGTGAGTTCAGTCTTTCAAGTTTCATCTATCTATTGGATTGTAAAACGGGCTGGAATGTGTCAAAAATTGACTCACAACGTATGGACTTGGCTCATTTCTGTAGATGACCCTTGTTTAACACACAACCAACTAGAGCCGGCCTCCTGAGGTTTGATTGGTTCTAACTTCTAAGCCAAGGACATCCCACCGCCAATCCCAGGGTTGGGCAACTTGGACATGGAAATTGTTTAAACTTGAAAAACTTTGATGGGTTTGTTCAATAACATGGCAGTTTCTGTTAATAATTCTTATTTGGTTGATTAGGTCTTCCTGCCAGATTCTTCAGTTTAAACTGTTACCCTTCAACCTAACCAAAGGTTTTTAAACTTGAAAATTTTGATTTTTTTTCTTTTTTTATTTATTTATATTTGAACATTTAATTTATTGATTAGTGTATTATTTTTTACTTAAAAAGTAAAATTAGGATCCTTCTTTCCTCAATTATAAAAAAAAAAAAAAAATGAATGATACAGGACACAGTGGAGGAACGGATGCAGCAAGTTCAGGCCAGGAAGCAGAAGATGATTGCTGGTGCCTTAACTGATGAAGAAGTCAGATCAGCCAGGATTGAAGAGCTGAAGATGCTTTTCAGATGAATTCTTCATCCATCTACAGGTATTAATCTTAATTAGTACTAGTACTTAAGTAAATATCAACCCTTATTTTTTGTAAATGATATGTAATTAAGAGAGAACTAAATTACAAAATGCTTGAAAGCCCATTTTTGTAAATTTTGGCTAGTATCAATGGCAATTATACTCTCTTCTCTAGTATTAGAATATTTTGACTTTTCAACAGAATAAAATGCACCCGTCACAGTGTCTTTTTGACCGTGTAAAGTGATTGCATCCATGGAAAATTTTTTTTAACCCAAAAAAAGAAATTCTAAATGTTCTTTGAGTATTCTGAAATGACGGTCCTACCCTTGCCTAAGTGCCACCTAAATCTGACAAAGGCACCCTATACACCCAGAAACTTGGCTTTCATTGCATTTGGAAATGTGGAACACATACAAGAAAACCTTAGCGACACGACAGAGAAGATAACAACAAAAAATGTGGGCCAGACACGTGTCAATCCAATCAAGGTTTGGAATTGACCACGTAACTGATGTTCTGGCCGTTGGATTGACGCTTAGGAAAAAACGGGAAAACAAATATCATATGATGATGAAATTATTACGAGTAACGCTTCTTGGAAGCATTGTTTTTGTGGTCAAAATCCAGAGGCGCGTGCGCTACACACTGTGCTTGCCCCCGCGGTTTGAAGACTGAAGTTGCGGCCTGTGGGGTCGGTTTAATCGGAAGAGCCGTCCTTCGGTTTGTTTAGAAGGGAAGTTTTTGACTGATGATGCTATCTGTTGCGGTTTCGGTTTGGGAGGTGGGTGGCTTCCCAAGGTTTTGCTTCGCTGGGCCTGGCTCGCCTTTAATCATTCATTTTACTTGTTCAACAAATTCTGGGTAATGATTGATCATTTTGCTTGGAATTTATTACCGAATACAATTAATTATTTAGATACTGTTACCGTATAAAAGAAATCTCGTGGATGAAATTTAGAGTCGGATCATCCTTGACCTTCAGGCCCTAATTTTGGAAGGATAATTTTTTTAAAATGGTATAATGTTTTAAAAAATTTTTTCAACTCTTCAAAAAAAATTTTCAACTCTTCAATCAAATTGAAATTTTTTTATATTTTTTATATTTAATTAAATTTTATATTTTTTAATTAAATAAAATTTTATAATTAATATAGATGATGAAAATTCACTTAATTATATCATTATAAGTCATTTGATATAAAATAATGAGTAATATTTTGATTAATATAAAATAATTAATTATTAGTTATATAATTTTTTAAATAAAATGTAAAATTTTAATTAAATATAATAAAAAATATTTATTAAAATTTTTTAAAAATAATGTAGAAGTTTTTTCAAATATAATTTTTTTAAAATTTATTAAAAATTTTGTTATTAAGAAAATTCAAAAAAGTCAAAAAAATAACTGAATTTTGCATTTAAAGAAGTTTAGAATCAAATTATAGGATTTATTAGTTCTCTTTTTCATTATCAAAATCATTTTGAAAAGAAAAACAAAAGGGAAAACAATACAAATTTTATATATTTTTTCGATTCACCTAATTGATTCCATGAAAATTTTGAGTTGGTAATTAAGTTAAAAATTACGAACAAAATGCAAAAATTGACACTGAAACATTCAATCACATCATAACTTTATTAGTAGCAAATAACGGTGATAAAATAACTACTTTGTTTTAATTTTTATATATTTAACATAATATTTCAACTTTAAATTCTAAATTTCTAACTTATTTTTATTATTTGAATTAATTTTAAATAACGTAATTTTACTTTGATATGATATATATTTGAATAGTTGAAAGTTTACAATGTAATAAAGGAGTAATATTTTTTTTCATGATTAATATATTTTTTGTAACTAACCCAAAGAAAAATAAGAGAAAATTAATCCAATAAATTTCCATAAATTGAGTCAACAAAGAGAAAAGAAAAAAGAAAATAATCCAATAAATTTCCATAGGACAGTCAAAGTCAAAGAAAAATCCCAATGATGCCTTGGCTGTAAAAGCCAAGCCACATGAAACCGACAGCTAAGCCTACTCTTTTCACGTGCGATCCACATGCCCCCACTCCTTTCCTATAAAAATCCCCTACACACAACAGAAACTCTTATCATTTCTCTCTCTCTCTTCAACCAAAGCAAGAAAATTAACTCTATTTTCTTTCCTCTCGAGCAAATCAACAAAACCCGTCAGATTTACCCTCTCAATCATGTCGACAACACCAAGGAAAACCTCCGTCATCAACGGTGGCGACCGGCGGCAGCCGAGCCGGCTTCAGCGGCGTGCTCCGGCTTCCTTACAGATTAGTCCAGTGTCGAGCTGGAACGTTGCGATCCCTCTCTTATCGCCGCTCGCTTCGTCGCCCCCCTCGATTGATCGGAAGACGGTCGAGAAAAGGGAAGAGCCACCTCGTCAAGAGCAGCAGCGGCAAAGCCAGACAACGGAGCCTGAGAAGATTGTCTTTAAGATGTGGCAGCATCCGGCGGCGCCGTTCTGTAATGAACCGGCGCCGTTAGTGCCATCGTTTGTGCCGGTGTAGATGTAAATGCGGAAAAAAGGGAAAAAGTAGTTAGATCTAACGGCGTGTTTTTGTTCAACATTGCACGTGACTAATTTTGTATGGAATTACAGAAATGCCCATCAATATGTTCATATAATACTTTTGATTTTTTTTAACTTCCTTGTAGCAAATTAACAAAGCATCGCTTCTGAGATACGGTTTACATCTCCAATTAATTTCATTTAACATTCTTTCTTCCTGTTTGGGGTGTGAGAAAATTAGTGAAAATGAAGGAAAATGAAAGTTGACAAACGAAATAGACAAGGGATTTGTTTAGAAGGCAAAATAAGAGAAAGGGTCAAATATGGTCATCTATTAGGTGCTGACTACATTTGTTTTATGGGCATATATGATCTGATCCGGTTTGAATGGTCGTCGGAAGAAATTAGGTAAGTAATCGAACCCAGTAGGAAAAGTCAGGAAGATAGTATTCTTTACAATTATATAGAAATCATATCTTATGGACCATATAATGTTACAGTTGTTAATGTTTGTCTGACTCGATTTGGGAACTTGCGCCTTTATTTAAATTTCTATCCCACTATTGATGTAAGATTTCCACTATCAATTTCTTTTTGCCCTTTAGATCTTTGGGCATCTTTCTTTTTAGATGTGGTAACGTGTTTGGTTTGCCAATAACGGTCGGAGAAGGGAAGTCTAAATTGTTGAGGGTCATTTTCTTCTATTTTAATTGTTCGATTGAAATAAGAAATTTTTTTAATTATTTGATACGAGATTTCATTTGGAAGAATGTAATGATGAAATTGTTGAATTTTAAATGATTTTGATTATTTGTATTTTACTCTGATTATGTCTTAGTATAAGATAATAATTAATTTGAATAACTTGGTTTCCATTGAATGGTTGTAGCTTAGCACCAGGTTTACATGAAGAACATGGGCAGGCATAGAAAACAAGTGGAAGTAATTTTCAAAGACTTGGTTAGTGTGACAAGTCCTCTATAGGTTTGATCAAAACCCATATTTCCTTTCATGTACCCAAAAGAGAAATAGGGAAAAAGGAAACAGTCAGAACAACTGGGACTGGTTATAAAGACGTTGTCCTGATTGGAGAATAGATTATCTGGTACTTTCTTGACAATCTGCTGCTAATAGCTATCTAACTGTTTAAGAGGACTAAATGGCAAAGAATATCCAAGGCAAAATTTTGTTGTATGGGAAAAAGAAAAAGATTGCATATGGTGATATGCACAAATATGAAAATATAGTCATCAGAATTATGAAGAACAACAACCAAGTAAAATGGGAACCCATGTGGAAGGCAACACCACATGCCTTTGGGTGTATTTGGCCATGCCAGCTTGCAGCATTTACTTGTCAAAAATGAAATCTCCGACAAATCACATCAAATGGACCAAACTCCAGTGGTTGAATATAACTCTTCAGTCTTCAGCAGCTCATCTCAGTAACAGTATGCCTATGAGTATGAAAAGATGGAGAATTTACAGCCTGGTGATCTGATCTTCCTAGGAAAAGAACAAGAACAAATAAGGCGCAATTAAGCCCTACTGTTAGCTTTGAAAATCTGTTTTGGGTGGGGGATGCTGCCCAAATCAAGCTTCTTTATGACATTGTTCTTGGGATTTCTTTGAAAATACTGCAAAGTGACCCAAAGTCAACAAAAATTTAGTGGGAATTCAGAAAATGATATGGAAAATCTATAGAAGTGAGCCAAGATCTGGTGTTTGATTGGATGTGACTGTGATAGAGGGCTACACAATGGGCCATGGGCCTAAACTTATTAGTCTCGTGAAAAATGTAGATATCAGAAGAGACAAATTGGAAAAGTAGTGTCCAAACGTACCTTGTTAATTAACAGATCCCTCTGTACTGAGGCAAATTATCCTGCTTTGTCACTGTAGCTGCTGAAATTAATATCCGAGTTCTTTAGTTGTTTAAAAGAAGTCTCAGCATGAACTTCACTTGACGAATTGTTTGTAAAGTGAAGCCTGCTAATGAGGAAGGAAAATGCGTATGTGTTGCAGTATGATCTTCCCCATTCCTTACACCAATAGGCTACAGCTACTATGGATCCTATCATTTAAGAGAAAAAATTGCATGAAATCATAGTTTCTATAACCTAGTTATATATTGAAGACTAGAAGTCTATGTCCATTCAATTTCAGATCTCTAAACTTTTATGAAATGAACTTTAGAGATGAATTCCTGTCTGATGCCTTTGCAGATTGAACAAAAAAGAGAGTTATCTTCATCATTTTGGAATGTCAAGTCCACAAGGTATTTCCTCATCCCAAAATGCTAATGAACTAAACTTAGTCCTTTGGATGAGCAGATCATTAGAGCATATAAAAATGATAGGTTAGGCCATTCTGCATAGATCAATATTTCAGGAACATAGACCTGAATGGTCCATATACCTTTTGTTGACCAGAGCAGTGAAAGATAATATCCCCTTCCCCTTCTTGTTGATGAATGTACCTACTCTGATACAATTCTAGAGGAAGCTTTCAGCAGCTTTCTTTTATGTATTGTCGAGTAATCGTGAATATGAAAGCAGCTTTAGGAAAACATCACACCAAATTCATAGCATCTGAACTACATTTCTTAGTGTTGTTTGTGCATTCAAAAACAAGAAAAGTTCTCTTTTTTTTTAACAACAAATAGAACACGAGTATTCCTCATGGTAGCTTAACAGGAAGGATCCTCCAACGGAAATGATTTTCCAAGAAGGAACACAAAGGAGCTTTAGGGCATTGTAAAATAGGCAATGACAGTGAGGAAAGGGAAATATAAAATGGGTAACTAATTGCACATAATGATAGCAGAAATGGCAGAGAAAATGGCTATTGACAGAGTATGATGGGACCAACCATTGCAGGAGGCTGCAGCTGAGATTTTCGTCTTGCTTCTTTAAAACTGGAGAAAGCAATGCAAGCATATAGGTATATGTTTATTAAACATGTATATTTTGAAAAATTAATTGTAAATTGAGTTCCATCTCTGCAACAAATAGTCTTCAGGATACCCGAAGGTTCAAATTTTGCCACCTGATTGCCAAATGGCTTTTGTTTCAACCAAGGTTGATGCAGTTGTTGCTTCTGCAAAGAAGTGAATAGCATAGTCTTTTGTTGTATCAGCTGCATCACTTATTCTCTACTCAGTGTTGAGAATAGTATATGTTGTTTGGTGGAGACCCAAAAGCTTGGAGAAGCACTGAAGACATCAAGGAATCCATGGCACTTTATACAAGCTTTTGCATGGTGAGACTAAAGAACTTGTCGTGTCTTTGGATGAAGCATGGTCCAAATCCATGACTCTGACTCACCGTATTGTGCCGCGTGTAGAACCATTAATCTATCAGATGGTGCAAAACCGTGGTAAGCAGTTAGGGGGAGATTAGAATGAAACTTAGAAATGGAACTAAAATTAATGAAATAATTGTCATGGGCTCACGGCTTTCATTAATAGTGGATGGAGCAGGACAAAAATCCGTGTGAGTTGGAAAGAAACGAGAGACCAAATCTAACGGACACGGAGCTGATGAAGTTGGCACCAACGGACAAGAATGGCCACTCTGTAAAGCCACCACAAAAGCCTCTTGTCAATCTTCTATTGCCGGATGTCGGGACCTAGCAGGAGAGAAATGAGCCAAGCGCAGAAGGCTAATAACACCTGCTTTTGACATTTGAGAAGTTGAAGGTAGGAATTGCCAAATCCTCAACTCTACTTTAGATAGACAATTTTGATATGAAATTCTTACAACCTATAGTTAAGGGAGGATGCTGATTTTCTAATTTCCAACTTGGATGTTCAGTTGGCTATGGAAAACATAATTGGCTTTATGTAGAGTCCATAACTATATCAGCTTTGCCCCAAATTTCAACGGTGCATATATGTATGATCAGTCAACAATGAAATCATACAAATTTAATTCTATCATACATGATAGAATCTAAGTAAAAATTGTGCCAAACTCGTTTCATTTGTCACAAGAAAAGAAAAAGGTACTTATTGCTCGATATTGCTTGAAAAAACAACATATCATGAACTATAGATGACAAAGCTCACCAAGCAAAACCATGTCAATATGTCACAAAGGGCGCCTCTATCCCACATCGGACAGGAACGGAAGGTCTTGGGCTCTTTATAAGCAGGTGTACTACACACCTCAACAGGCGCGTCTTTTGGAGAGAGGGTAATGACTTCGTGACAAATGGTATCAGAGCTAACTGGACCTCATCTGACTCATACCAAGCTCCCCAACGGACCGAGGTAGGTATGATGGCGGACGGCAACAAGGGCGTTGCTGGAATCGAGTGGGAGAGAATGTCACAAAGGGTGCCTCTATCCCACATCGGATAGGAACAGAAGGTCCTAGGCTCCTTATAAGTAGGTGTCCTTCACACCCCAACAGATTCGTCTTTTGAGAAAAGGGTAATAACCTCGTGACAAGTGATATCAGAGTCAATCGGACCTCATCCGACTCACGCCAAACGTCCCAATAGACCGGAGGGAGTTACCAGAATCGAGTGGGAGAGAGTGTCACAAAGGATGCCTCTATCCCACATCGGACAAGAGTGGAAGGTCTTGGGTTCCTTATAAACGGGTGTGCTACACACCTCAACAAGCACGTCTTTTGGGGAGAGGGTAATGACCCCGTGACAAGTGGTATCAGAATCAACCAGATCTCATCCCACTTACGCCAAGCGCCCTAACGGATCGAGGTAGGCAGGGTGGCCAACGGCTAATGACCCCGTGACAAGTAGTATCAGAGTCAACCAGATCTCATCCGACTCACGCCAAGCGCCCTAACGGATCAAGGTAGACAGGGTGGCCAACGGCTAATGACCCCATGACAAGCGGTATCAGAGTCAACCAGATCTCATCCGACTCACGCCTAGCGCCCTAACGGATCAAGGTAGACAGGGTGGCCAACGGCAATGAGAGCGTTGCCGCAATCGAGTGGGAGAGAGTGTCACAAAGGGTGTCTCTATCCCACATCAGACAAGAACGGAAGGTCTTGAGCTCTTTATAAGTAAGTGTGCTGCACACCCCAACAGGCACGTCTTTTGGGGAAAGGGTAATGACCTAGTGACAAGTGATATCAGAGTCAACCAGACCTCATCCGACTCACG